GAATCTTAGGGCAGGTCGAAACAAATGAGGGCCTAAAAATAGCCCAGGGCCTAAGAATAGCCCTCCGTTTCAGGCTGGAAAAACTCTGGGTCTGAAAGACCCAGAAATAGGCTGAAACGGAGTAGGGCCTCCAGGCCCTCGTTTTTCAGTTTTCAGGCTGAAACGACCGGGGCCTGTAGCTCCTAAGTTTTAGGCTTTAAGGCTGAATGTCCGGGACGGGTCCTACAGGGCCCGTGTGGCTACGCAGTCTGCCACACCGACCCTGCACAGAATCGAACCAGCGACCTCAAGCTCAACAGCTCAGTGCTTCAACCATTGCAGCCATGACACAGTGTTCAAAAGTGGGAACCATGCCGGTCATGATATCCACCCCACCCCTGCATGGCTGCCATGGGACATATCTCACTCACACACCCATGACACCCAACTGTCTCCCTTGAGGCCTTCCTGCAGGTGGGGCTCAAACAGCCCAACGCAATGACCGATTCCAGGTATTATTTCCCGGACAGTTACTACGGTAAGTATATATTCTTTATGTTTCCTACAGGTATGTCTATAGGTATTTCTATAGGTATGTCAATGCTATAGGTATGTTCTTCCTACCCACTTACCCTGTAGACAGACCAATAAGTCAACGCTATAGGTAGGCGTATAGCTTTCCATGTCCTTCGCGCACTCAGAGAGACAATCAAACAACAATCACTACACTGCGCTATTAGAAGTTAGAATCAGCAACCGGCTTTTAAAATCAGCAAAGTCTGTTCCATCGATTGACATGCGTCACACGGTGGTGTATCACTATGGAGCATTACACCCACCACAAACAGCAAATGTGTTCTAACCCCTCCTCCCCCCTTCCCCTCCCCTTTTTCAAAGTTCTTTTCCAATGAAGAGGGCAGCACCCAAGGTTGTTCCTATCGGATTCCAACTGGAGTTGAGTTTTTGAAGTTTTTGAAGTTTTTGAAGTCTTTTTTTGAAGTTTTTGAACTCATGCTCTGTTTACCAGCAATTACATATATGTGTTACGTACCCTTCAGAAAATACAATTTCACAGAAAGCATAGACGGAAAATAAAAATCACATACAACACAAAACCAAGTACAGCAACAAAATAATACTTAGTACTTGCTTAATATTTGTATAAGGGACGCTAGGCACGGTTCCCGGCATGTGAAGCTACCCACAAATAGATCGGAGCATGGTCTTAAGATATAAAAAAAATCCTAGTCGCTGAACACTGTACATTTTGGAAGAAAATCCGTGCACCCAGGCCGCCAAGTGGTGCCCGGGGCACGCCCGCATGCCGAGCGAGGTATGGCCTCGCCCATCTCCAGTGCCAATAAAAAAAGGAAATCTGGGGAGGAAAAATGTTCTGTGCACTGCAGACAACTTTTGGATGCGGGTCACCTCGGAATTCATTGTATTGAAGATAGAAAAGAATGTTAAAATCAGACTAAGGCACACCCCCTCTAAACCCCTTTAAGCGCCTCTAAAACCCATTTATAACCCCCCTTCCCCCTGCTTTAACAGGCAACGTGAAAAAAAAAAAGAGCCCGGATTTGGGCTCCTCCCTCGTCGACCGTGGAAGAACCCCACGGTCCCCACCACCAAAAAAACAACTCAAAATTACCAGACATTTTTTGCCCACTCACCTCAAGAGCACTTGGTACAGCGTCTGCCGATTTGAAGTCTAAGTAGAATATCAGGCCTGGAATTGGAACAAAAGCTGTGAGGATCTGACGTCACAAAAACAGCATCCGGTAAAAAGTAAATACTAAATACACACCTTGCTATCAGTAAAAGCCATGCACTATTCTTCATTGATCCAAGATTTTAAAGGCTGTTAAGGCTTACAAGTTAAGACTTAAAAGTTAGAAGTAAAAACTTAAAAGTGAAAACTTAAAAGTGAAAACTTAAAAGTGAAAAGTTAAAAGCCATTGAGAAAAAAGAGTTGAGACTTCAAAGTTTTAAAACTTAAAAGTTGAAAGTTAAAACGCATCCAGAGATCTAAAACAGTTGGATATTGATCCAGGTAAGGAGAGAGGATGAGTCTATAGACTCTAGAATCTGTACTAGACTCCATACTGAAATTATCGCTGTCTTTGGATAACCTTTCAGTCCAGATGCAGCGAAAATGATTGTACGTTCTACTCGGGGGAAGAAGGTAGACTCTATAGCCCTCTGAGACCATTTTCAGGAAAACCTTTATTTCAGCTTGAGTTACCCCAGCTCATGTGCTGAAGGGTACAAACATTTAAATGACAGTGAACAGCTCATGGGTTCGGATCCTGATGAAATCAGATCAATACAAAAGTGATGCTAGGGGCATAGAGGGGGGAGGGGGAAGGGAACAGCTTCAGGTACAATAACGTCATGTGAGGATTACAGGCCAAGAGAGGAGGAGAGGCAAAGGTGGGCAGAAGAGGGATCTGAACACGTGCTCAATGACATTCATGTGATCGTCTTTCCGCATCCCAACATTATCCCTGCAGGCGTTGTTCTTTAGTTTCTCTGCCATGATACCACAACGGGAAACGGAACAGGTGAAAAGCAACCGAAACAGATACTTACACTTCACAGAGAGACAAAAATAAACAAATTGAGAGCGAGAGCGAGAGAGAGAGAGAGAGAGAGAGAGAGAGAGAGAGAGAGAGAGAGAGAGAGAGAGAGAGAGAGAGCCTCGTGTCCCAAATCTCTCCCGCAAACTGCACATCAGTGTGTTTGTGATGGGAAGGGGGAAAAGCATAAATACCTCACGAAGGGTTGGCACCATGATGCCTTGTCCACGGTAAGGGTATGTGTACCCATTGTCAGGAGTGAATCGATATCCAGCATCAAGCTTTCTGCACAAAAACAAAATCACACCGCGACTATGAAGCCGTCAACAACCGCCTGCCCATCGAAACTTTCGAGTTAGTTCTCGCCTTCCCTTCAGTCCTCCTCACCATCATTTCCTCGACCAAAGTTCAAAATTTTCAAATTCAAATCCGCTTAACTGCAACCCAGTGAGAGGAAAAAATGAAAAGAAGACTTCAACTCAAGTTGATACCACACTTGACTCTCAGGGCATACTCACACAAGCACTTCAATAAATGTATCTGACTGCAATTGCGGACACAGCTGCATGAATCTGACCGCGATCGCGTCCAGAGCTTACTAGAAAACGTCCGAGTGTGAGTAGGCCCTCAGATTGCTCACAAGGCGAGGCTATCAATGATACCAACTTCAGGAGCTTCTGCTCTGTCTCTCTGTGTGTGTGACGCTTAACACACTAGTACCTCCGCCAGAGTTGGGAAAATAGGGAAAACTGGCAGTTTTCCCAAAAACTCCTAAAAAATCAGAGGCTGGGCCCGACAACGGTTGCCACTGATAAATCTCATCGACGGCCGTCGTTTCGTTTCGGCTTTCCTAAAAGGTCGGAGGCCCACTCAAGGCCTGCTATTTTCCCACTTGGCAAAGGTACAAGTGGTTTACCGCATTGGCTTTCACACTGACTGGTGTGACCGCCACCCTTGTCTTCTCTGCTCCACCATTGCTCACAGGAAATTCGTAGGGGCTCAAAGAGCAGACACTTCGCGTCTGGACTTCATGTCCAGCATGTCTTGTTGCATTCGTGCCTGGAGCTGTGATGCAAGCCCCCTGGCGCTTATACGAGATGAGGCTTGAAGAGCGTTACATGAGAGCAAGAGTGGCCGTGGAGGAGAAAGAGAAGGAGAGTGACAAGGTAAAGCATGTGTCGTCAAGTCACCACCGTTATCCCATTAGGGAAGCAAAACAGTTTAAATAACTACTCCCCATTAGTGGAGTGTTTCATCTGTTCTCTTATTGATGCTCATTTACATGCACTGAGTAGTTCGATACGGGGGAAAGGTAGGATGTAGGACGGGAAGGAGAGGTATTGGGGAAAGGAAGGATGTAGGACGGGAAGGAGAGGGAAGGAAGGGGGAAGAGAAGGATGAGAGTGGAGGGAGAAAAAAAGAGCAAGGAAAAGAGAAACCTACATCGTTGGGTCGTCAATGCTCACAGCAGAGCACACTGCTAGAGAGTGGCGCAAGAGACCGGTCAGGGGTAGGGGCGGCTGAGAAGAACGAGGTGAAGAGCAGGCATTTCCTATGGTAAGTGGCCACCCCTGCAGACTGGGAAGGATGAGTTTGCATGTGGCCTGGAAGCACTGCTTGCAGTTCTCTCAATTGCAGTCACTGTGCCAAATGGTGCACTCAGACATATGTCACAGGCATCATGGCTCCCACATGCTAGGAAAAGAAAGGCACGACAAGTACATATGTTTGATGTGCACATTGCTCATGTGCTATGTGTATAACTATGCATTTACTCTCACTACAAGGAAGATGAGCAATAGCGAACTTCAGCAATCAAACAGCATCATACACATGAGACCAGATAGTCGTGACCTCGAACCAATAGCAGAATTGCATCACGAGTTTCACAAAATAAGAGCACACCAAAAGCTCATAATTGACAATGCTGGAATAGTCTCATCATCATCAACGAAGAACCAATGTTGATATCCTATCTGGCGCTCGGCGCCCAGACTACGAATGGCAGATCCTATCTAGCCTAGACTACAATGCCGCTGATGACGTCAACAGCTTCCCAAGTACGAGCAGATCTCGGCCAATGCCGCACGCCTCAAGCACCAGGTATGTCTCTCGTATCACTCACAACCTCGTTCCCCAACTCACAGACGCCACTTGCACCCAAGGACCACCGTGCGCCCCATCAAGCATACAGCAGCGCAGCTCGGCTATGGCTGCCTGCTCCTTCCAGCTCGCCCGTGAGCGCGTGAGCCTGGCCAGCGTTAGCACAGCAGCGCTTGCGCAGCATGCAGCCAGTGCCCGAATGTCCAATGCGTAGGCAGGCCCTTCTCTATATCGAAGTGGCCTGCTGCTGCGTGCAGTAATGCAGTACTGGGCCCTGGCCCAGAAGCTTCCGGTACGCCCCACGGGGCTGAGCCTCAGTCCGAAGTAATCAGGCCCAGGGCCTGTGGTGGTTACCAGCACCCAACTGCCCTCAGCCTTTGTTTCGGTCCACTTTGTGTATCCGGCCCAGGGCCTGCCTCAGTTACATGCAATGAAAGGCAGCCTGGACCTGGGCGCTTCCAACCAACTGGCGCTGCGCAACTGCCTGAATTTCCCCATTCGCGTGGTGACCCCAAAATGGCCTGTAGGCCTCGGTCGTGCCTGCCTTCACTTAGGGTGGCCGACTGTGTGAAAAATAGGCCCTGTAGGGCATAACGAGGCCCTGTGCCTCGCATCACTATGTCTACATCTACATCTACATCTACATCTACACCTACTATAAGAACTGCTAAACGTCATATCTTACGGCCTGAATCGCAGGCCGGTAACGCGACGCGGACGGCCCAGATATCAGGCCGATCAGAAAGTTTTCTGATCGGTCTACACAGACTATAAGAACTGCTAAAAGTCATATCTTACGGCCTGAATCGCAGGCCGGTAACACGACGCGGACGGTCCATATCGCAGGCCGATCAGAAAGTTTTCTGATCGGCCTGCGATCTGGGCCGTCCGCGGCGCGTTACCGGCCTGCGATTCGGGCCGTGCGATGGCTCTACCGGAGGTGCCGAATTGCAGGCCCGCCCGCCTGCCCGTCATCCAGCCCGTCGGCCCATTTGGTGCCGCCCTCCCCCCCACCACCACCAATCGCCTGCCGTTTGGTGTTGGAAGTGCCGAAACGGCCTTGCGCCCGTTTCTTCGTTGCCGGCCCACCCCTCCAACCGCCCGCGCGCAATACTGTTGCCGCCCACGGCCACTTCTCCAATCGTTCGGCACTTCGTCTGTCTTTCGCAACGTGCGTCAACGTGCGCCTGTGTGCTCCGTCGTCGGTGCGCGTGTGCTCGCCGGTCGGTGCTCCATGCTCCGTGCTCCATGCTACGTGCTCCATGCCCCGTGCTCCATGCTCCGTGCTCCATGCTCCATGCTGCATGCTCCGTGCTCCGTGCTTTAGATTTCGGTTCTTCTCTCTCTCTCTCTCTCTCTCTCTCTCTCTCTCTCTCTCTCTCTCTCTCTCTCTCTCTCT